GAGAATCAAGTGAGCTAATTTTAGTTTTCTGATTTTTAATTCTTGAAATTTGAACATAATTGCTTCTATTATGTTCAATGATCGTCTCATGTTATTGCAAAATAGTTTTATTACATACAGTTGCTAGAGTATGGGGAAGATTTGGGGTGGCATAGATAGATTTACCACTGGGTTTTGAGTAAGGTTGAGGATTCTTATTGGAGGTTTAATCACATGTGCAGGTCAGAAGGGATGTTATAGAGAGAATGGACAGCTTTACCCTTGGTAACCGCGTATGCAAGAGACTTCTTATGGATTGTTGCATAATGGAAATGTATTGAAATAATCATGTTAGACTTTTTTTTTTAATGATTTTCGAACATTTTACCCCACCCCCTGCGTTATGATTTTGTCCCATTTTAAATGGTCATAGGATGGTCTATTGTTGGGACACAAGTTTTTTTAACGGCCTTGATACTCACTGCATACTACATAATACTATCAAAAGTTTAGGTGTGACTTATGCTGAACGTTGTTCTAAGCTAAACTTGAAAGTTACCTCTAAAGTTGAAACAACTTTTTTGGATGTGTTTGTTTAGAACTGAATTCACTAAATTGTTATGTTTTATATATATATATATATATATATATATATATATATATATATATATATATATATATATATATATATATATATATATATATATATATATGGGAAAAGTGAATATACCCTTAAAGTATATAAGCTTAGGTACACAAACTCACCATACTATGTTGTTTTGTATCATATGTATACATTGTAATTGTCCAATGTTCTTATAATTCAACTTTCTAACTTGATTTACTTCTAGGATTTCTATAAATTTCACATTTATCTTCCTCTTAAATAATTTTCGTTTTCAACTCTAATATATATACTAATAGGTGTTCGGCAAAAAGAAGTGATATAAGAGGAAAACAATAGTGAAATTTCGAAAATATTCAAAGTAAATCAAGTTAAGGTTGAAATTTAATAACATTATAATGAATATATCAAACAAAACAATAGTGGGTTTGAGTACCTAAGCTTATATATCCTTAAGGGTATATAATATATATATATATATATATATATATATATATATATATATATATATATATATATATATATATATATATATATATATATGATCTAAGGCTTAATTTAAGTTGTTATTTAGTAACTAAACTGTCATACTTTTAATAACTTTCACTAAAGTGTTATAATTATGATCAATTTATGTAGTAAAGTTGTATGTAAAGTTGCGAGTTTTGTTTGATTAAGGGGTGATCCAAACTTTGTTTGTAAAGTTGGAGGTAGTCAATGGCTCTTGTTGTGGTTATGTTGCTGAAGTTTTTGGTACCCATTTTCATTCGCCTTTGGGGTACCATTAGCAATTGTTTTAATATGTATGTTAATAGTGATGCATTGAGGCTAATATTTTGTGTCTGAGGATTTAATTCGCATATTTGTAGATATTTCCTTTTAATTTATGCAAAATAAAAGATAAGGATAACAATTTTGCATTTCTTTGTCTACCTGATGCCCTTTGTTTTTATGTAAGAACTCTATGTTTTCATTTTCTACATTTCCATATGTTATTACCATTTCTTTGTCTACTTGTGCATAAGTAATTTTTGCACAATTTACATATATAACTAATAAATTCAAATGCAATGTTAATATATATATATATATATATATATATATATATATATATATATATATATATATATATATATATATATATATATATATTACATGATTAAAATTTGAATTGAAATCGATTATTTATGAGTCCACTTCGCTTTTACAAGAACTAAAAATATCTCCACCAATGCAATTTGCTATAACTAAATGTAAGAGTTATTTTATTGTTCAAATTTTTAAAATTAATAACAATTTAATTTTTTTGAACCTTTTTTAATTGTTGATATAAAAATATCATACTATTAGTGTTGATTTTTGAAACTTTGAATTGTCTGAAATTATTAAGTTTCATGGTGGCTTAACTAAGATTATATAAAAAAAAATTGCATTGTACTTTGGTTATTTATTTACTTATTATGTTCTATTTTAAATATTCACCATTTATAACATTGCATTTAAAAAAAAAAATTACCTAGCATTTCACTTTTATTTTTTCGGCTTATCATTAATTTTAAGAAACGAACTATTCAAATTTGCTTCGACTTACCAACAAACCAAGTTTATTGTGTAAAAATATAATCAACTTTGTTACAAAGTTGGTCTAACCTTTTTTTTTCCAAACTTGTCCCAAAATTATTATTTTTACAGCTTTTGAAATACTTTTTGCACAAACGCATTTCTACAAAATGTTTTACAACTTTTTTTATAATTTATTTTAAACTTTTTTTATTAGTTTTTAACCTTTTATTAAAAATTTTAAAAAAAATTAATATTTTTTACAACATATTTAAACTTTTTTATAAGAGCTTATAAACTTATTTAGTAGTTTTTAACTTTTTATTACACGTTTTTTATAAACTTTTTAAAAATATTTTTTACAACATATTTAAGCTTTTTTATAAGAACTTATAAACTTTCTTTTAGCGACCTAAGTAAATTGAGCAAACGTAAGAAAAAAAAAGGTTTAAAAAGTTGGAATCGTAAATAAAAATGTTTAAAAATGATGATTTCATCTTACAGGTATTAAAAAGGTTGAAAGAGTTTCAAACAGTTTTTTACAACTTACGTTTTTAAACGTTTCAAACATTTTTATTTTTTGTACTTGTAATTTTTCAACATTCTTAGGTTGTAAAAAAAGTTTAAAAAGGGTTGTAAATTAGATTAAAAATATTAGTTAAAAAGGTAAAAAATTTGTAAACAAATTTAAAAATTGTGTAAAATAAGTTTTAAAATATTTAAAAAGGTTCTATAAAAAGTTATAATAAAATTGTAATTTTTTTTAAAAGGCTGTGAAATAATTATTAAAAATATTGTAAAGGAAGTTTAAAAAATATTGTAAAAGTCTATAAAAAGTTTGTGCAAAAAGTCTTACAAAATTTTAAAAATATTATATAATCAGGTAGATTTGTCATGGTAGAATGTAATAATATGAACAAATAAAAGTATAATACTACAAAATAAAGTAAAATTGATTCATTGTTTTTACATCTACATTTCAAGTAACTACTGTTTTGTTTGACACAATGTAATGTCTCAGAGTTTTTACACATATTTATAATTCGAGTATTTTAAATGTATGAAATCACATAGTAGATTCATGTTTTTTTGTTCTTATGGTGAAACACATTATTGTTGGGGTACCATACGCTAAATGATCTTATTAGGTTTGTCCAAAAGATCTTACTATGTTTGTCCTTGTGGGTGGTTTTATCTGAATTGATAATTTTAAAATGTTGACTTTTAGATCTATATTGAATAATATTTTAGGTTTTTAGTCTTAAATTCACTATGTTGTTTATTTTATCTTATGTATGGAACACAATTATAGGTATTATTTCAAGAGATAGAAAGATAATTGGATAGATTTATCATCTACATAACTATTATAGAAAGGAATGTAAGTAATATGCTATAAAAATAAGATAAATCAATATATTATTTATACATTTGTCAATTTGTCCACCGGACGGGTATGACACTTTTGATGATCTTGTGAATTGTGATTTATGTTTGAGGATACATAGGTACCCCGAAGCAATTGTGAATATTTTGTAAGATTTTAAAGATAGAAAAAGAAAAAAACAGGATCAGTGTCCATAATTTTTAATTTTGTATTATTGCAAATATGGGGAACAAAACAAATTCAACTTTCAAACTTTCAAAAAATAAAAATTTATTCCTCTAATATAAATCTAACCCTAATGGCCCCTGAAAAACTACCTATAAGCTTTTTAGTTGTGTATCTTCATTTTGTCCGGTTGTAAAAAATGACCAATTTGACCATTTTCACATTTTTCTCAAATTTGGACTCTTTAACCATTTTGACATTTTTATCATTTCAAATTTGGACCATTTTTATATTTTTACATTTTGATCTTTTTGGCATTTTCAAAATAGGCCTACGAAATAACCATTTTGATTATTTTACAATTTTACATTTTGAATTATAATGACATTTTGGCCACCATCATGTTGACATCTTGAATCTTGATTGAATATGCAACATAAAAAACACCTCGATGCAGCCTTAAGTAGTCGATTGAAGCTTCATAGTTTTAAATGAGTATCATATTGATCATATACAATTTTTCATAGATAAAAATTTAAGTTTTCTAGCGTTTGGGGTAAAATGGTCCAAAGAGATGGTTGGTTTTACACACCTGTGGGTTGTGACCAAAAGGGTGTCATTGAGATAGATTGCAAAAGGTTTATAGAAATAAACTCGAATTGGGGAGAAGGTGGCAAGAAGGCATGTTGTTAATTTTTTTGTGGTGTTTTATTTTCTTGCTTATAAATATTATAACTATTTTTAACTGATTTGAAATAGAATATGTTTTTTCTATTAATTTCAATAATAAACAATAATAATGCTAAACCTATAACAAAGTAACATCAATATATTTTTTATTATACCGGTCAATTGTCCACCGAATGGGTATAACACTAGTTTAAAATGGTTAGGAGTAAGATAAATATTTATAAAATACAAGAATGAAAGAAAGGGTTAAAGTGAATTGTTTTCACTTATGCCATAGTTCTATCCCAACATTTGAAAACTATCTTTAAGATTATCACAATGGATAATCGTTTATAAAATTGATTAATCGTCTTATTACATGAATTTTTATTTATCCACTTCATTATAAAAGTGTACGGCCAAGGTGGATGCTGTAATGGAAAAAATTAGTATTACTTTCAGAAGATATATCAAGGGATCTATTGTATTTTTGTTTGTTTCTACCATTATCTTTACCAATATGTGGATCTATTGTATCTTTGTCTGTTTCTACCGTTATCTTTTCCAATATGTGTCCATTCAAATAAAAATATGTGTCCATTCACACGTTCGTGTCCAATAGACTCTCCCGAGGAGAGAGTCAACTCACACACTTATTGTTCAAAAGGTAATGAATTTAAAGAGTTGATGTTATGATGTAATAAACGTGTAACGAATTGTTTAAATTATAGTACTGTATATATTAAAATTGGTATATTTGCTTTCTTTTTGACAAATCTTCCCCTTCTCTTCTCGATAATTCCTCCACCGGCTCTACCAACCTTAACCTGCTCTATCGTCAACCGATAAAAGACTGCATATGTGTTCTCTTCTCAGACAACCCGCTGACATTTGTTTTCATCCTTCGCACCGCCTAATATACCCAATTCAGTTTCTCCGCCTAATCAGTGCTCCAGGTAAATTTTTCTCTATCCACCATCATCGACTCTTCCCCCTCACTGTCTCTACAAACCACCGCCATCAACTCTTCCTTATGGCCATAGCGACGCTGGCCACACCAAACGTTGGCGAGTCGAGGAATTCTTCAGCTTCTATTTTTCTTCATCCAGACGAATATCCCTGATTCGATTCACTCTTTCAGTTGGTGGGGCTGATTCCAGACCAGATGAACGTTCATCTTCTTCGTTTCGTCGCCTTCCATAGATAGCCTTGCAAAGAAATCTCGGCTTCCAAATTTGTAAGTTTTCAAGAATTCGCTTGAAATAATCACTCAATTTAGATTGAAATAATCATAAATTAATCTTTGTCTCATATGTGTTTCATTAATTCTGTTTTTTTTTAGATAACAAATTTACCCTACGTTTGTGTATATTGATGTAGGGTTTATCTAAAATCAATTGGACTTCGTGTTTGGCATCTGGAAACAGGTATGTGGTTTTAAAATCTGCACATTAAATGTGTTCTATGTTTTTCTTTCCATTTCATACAGTAGATGGGTACTTTGGTTTACAACAGAAGTTGCTTTACTACATATCCTTCATATGCCCTTATGGTGTACAGTTTGTTAATGTTCCTTTTTCTATTCTACTCATTAAAGAGATCACAATAATTTCTTTTGGTACATAAAAGTCTCTCTTTTGACATATTTTAGATTACACATTTTTCTAATGTTTCATTTTCAATAACTGCAAGGAGTCTTAGAATATCCTCTATGGTTTTTAGTGCGAAGAGGAATGATGACAGTCGTTCTGCTTTTTATTTATGGGTTTTGTCATGGAGAACGGTGCAAAGGCTGCAAGCAAAATACTACAAATGGTACTTTTAACTTGATAAAACCTGCATTGAAGTTTATAAAATGCTTTGCTCTCTTCAGGTCTGTCTAATTAGAAATTTAGTTTATGATATTCAATGTCGGGATGTTAGTTTTCTTACTTGGATTTTTTTTTACTAAAATGACCTTAACAAAAATGTATGTTTGTTGGCTGGTGTAGGTTATAGTGTACAGGTTGATATGTTATCAGTGATTTCATCAGCAGGTAGAGGTGTCACTCTACTCTATCCTTCCAGCAACAGGGTAAGAATTCTGTTTTTTTTTTTTTTTTCAAATTTATGAATGAAGTTTAAAAGAGGAAGGATTTTGATGCACCGATGAAGAATTGATCATGCTCTATCTGCGAAACCAGTAGTTATCTAAACCATGTCCTGTTTCTATAATCCCTGAAGTTGATATCTACAAATGGGTAGTGTTTTTATTTAGTTTGTGATTGGTTATGAACTATGGAGTATATGTTGATTGTTTTGAATTTGATAGCAGAGAAAACGAATGGTATTTCTTCACCCCTCGCGATAGAAAATACCCAAATCGAGCAGCTGTTTCAGGGATAGATAAAGCGATTTACAGTGGATCAAAATACGTTGGCGTGAAGAAAGCTTTGGTGTTCGACCTCCAAAGGGGGTTAAAACCGATTGGATTATGCATGAGTATCGATTGAAAGAGTCTCGATCACAACCCACTAAGAAACTCAGATCACTGAGGGTAAGAACGAATTCAGTTTGCATCATGTTTGTTGTTGATTTGAATAAATTCAGAGGAACTAGAGTCAGGTCTACCCATGAGAAGTACTATCGTATAGGTAAATGTCAATATTCAAATCATCAATTAATTGAATAAGTATTATCTTTGCTGAATTCTTTCAGATTCATTGGTCTTCTGGTAATAATATCCTCTTTTAGACCTCTTTTCCACCCATCTGAATTTATGGCTAATACCCTGTTTTCCACCCATTTGTCCCTTCCAATATCTCTGTCTAAAGTATCCTAACATTTGATAATTGCTTAGGTAGATTTAAGATGCTTCCATACGGAAGATGAACAAAATAAGAATTGCAAGTAATCTTTTTGGTATAGTGATGAATTGCAAAAGATTTAAAATTTTCAAGGGGAACAAGTGAATTTTGGAATATACCAACTATGATTGGTATATTAACTTTTTCAATATAATATTTTAGGTCGATTAGTTTTTTGGTATATTGATGATTTGCAAAATATAACTATTTATAGCAAATATATTTATCACCAACCAAGTAAAAAATAACTTTTTTGCCCTCAAATTATTCATTTGCAGACAGGGGGGGTGGATACAAAGAAGCTTGAGCATAAAAATGTGTCACACGAATTGAGATTTAAATAAATAACCCAATTATTTTTTCAAAATTCCAACTTTTTTACAAATGTAGTGAATAAAATACAAGTGTATTATGCTTTTAACACCAGATTATCTTAACTTATAGCATTCCTTTGCAGATAAATAAAAGAAAGAAAATATTCTTCCTAATAAACCCATCTTCATGTCAATTTGAAATCCAAATGAAATGAACACCTTAAACATTTTTGTGGATGGCATTGTCATTTGTACTATATATACATATAACAGATTAAATATTTATGCATATAACAAATAAATTATTTTACTTCATTACAAAAGTATATCAAAACTCTTTAAGCATTCATTCATGTTAGAATACTATCTATTATCTACGAATACAAAAATATATATACTTAGTACCACTTCTTTAATTTTCTTTCTTTTGCATCTTTTTTTATTTAACTATGCACTTCTTTTGTAACAGGAGAATTTGTAGGTTATTCTGCATCGGCAAATATATTAATGGAGTATGTGTTATCGGATGTTGCAATTACAAGAAGTTTCACTGAGTATCCGTGTACTACTTTTGGACAGGAAGATCCAAACGCATGTCGGGTTGAATTAGATGGGTTAATGGAAGGTTACATGGATCCAACCGTTTTTCTTTTTCTTTAATATATATATATATATATATATATATATATATATATATATATATATATATATATATATATATTAAAGAAATGAATATTAAGAATAGTAAATTTGTCGTTTTTTTGGTAGAATTAGTCTCTATACTATTGTTGTTCTATATTTTTGTTGGGCTTCAAAAGTTAGGAATACTAAATTTGGATGTTTTTTTGGCAACTTTGCTTCTCATTCTTTAGTCATTTTTGACACTTTTGGTCATTGCAATAAATATTTTTACACTTTTTAGGAACCTTTTAATATTTAAAGTTTGGCCACAAAACTTTAACGGTTTGACAACTTTGATCCATTTTCTAAAAATTTGCTAATTACTACCCTTTTAATTCTTTAGCCATTTTGAGACTTTCTTTGCAGTAAAAACTTTTACATTTTTTATGAAAACATGAAAAAAAACGATCCGGTGCAAATCCCGGACTTTTCATCCTTGCACTTTCTACGTCTTTCATATTTATCGATTCGGAAACAACATTGAAAGCTTCTGGTCCCTGCGTAGCGGCGTAACCTTTCTAGTTGTTAAAAAAGATTTCATTCAAAAGGTAAGTTATTTATATTTGTTCAAAAAATAGCATGGTGACCTCCTATAGTCAATTTAAGAGCAGGGTTGGACCAACAGATGTTTGTAAGATACTTATGAATAGGGTTCACTGAAATCATGGACCCAAACTTTACCTGATTTTACCTTAACATGTCTTCAGTTTTTGGCCCAATTTCACAAATAGGTTAAGTGGGAACGATACACAAATTACATATAGACGCAGTCGGTTAAGCGGGAAGCAAAATTAGATTCTGGGAATAATAGATGGTGTTTTGGTTCCTTTATCCTCGATGTTGGGAATCAAAACTCTGTGTTACACCAATTATTGTTATCACATGTCGATAATACAATAACAACATTCTTTAATCTTTTTATTTTTTCTTATCCGTTTCTTGCTAAAAGGCTTAAATCCAAAAAAAAAAACTCATTTAGAAGTAATACCTCGACCTTCAATACTAATTAAATTGATTTCTATGGGTCTTTTCTTCTTACTTCTTTCTTCATAAATCAAAAAAAGAAAAAAAAAACACTCAATACTCATAACCTATATTTCTAATTTTGAATTTTATTTATTTTTTAGACTGTAAATCATTTTATTCATTTTTTTTATTCTTATTTTCTTGAATCCAGATAGTAGCATTGAAGTAACTAATTAACTTGACTGTCAATCGAACTTTCTAATATCTTGGTTGTCTTGATTCTCGAAGTGTCAAAAATCAGAAACCAGAAAGTATTATACATTTATATTTCTGATACTATTTATATTAAATCAGTTTTTTTCATTGTTTAATGTTTATGATTTTGATTTTCTTGTTTCAGGCGCATTGAAACAAAACTAAAAGCAAAATTTATTTCAACAAATATTAGAAAGATGACTATTTTCAAGTAGAAGCACAAAAAAAAATGGTATTATTTTTAATGGAATCTTAATTTTATGTATGTTTCAATAGAAAATGAAAAGTTATTACTTTTTTGCTTAAATTTTTAGACCTTTAGGTTTAAGGGCCTATTTTTTGTTACCTTGCACAAGGTTTCTAAAATTTTGCAGACAGTCCTGTTTAAGATTTGGGTTAACGTATAACCAACTATTTAAAATGTTCAAAAAATATATATAAATTGAAAATTTATAATCCGATGGGAAGGTAATTGTACAATTGTTTTAAAAATACCATAGTACCTTCATATAGCTTGTTTAATAGGTAAAAGTGTGTTAAAAAAACTACAAAATTTCAAATTTGATCATTGTGGTTTGCAAAAAGCTTTGGATGGGGTCTACAAAAATTTCAGCTTGCACAGAAGATCCAAAATCAAGGTTTTACTGAGTTTTTTGTCCAAAAAATTTTGAAATTACCGATTTACCCTTTTAATTTCAGTTTTGTATTTTCTTTTCTTATTTAATTTAATAATTTATGAAATAAAAAAAAAAAAAAAGATAGACACCCACTCCATCCCTATCGGTACCCTCTCTCTCTCTCTCTCTACAAAACCCATCTTCATCATTCTTATTTTTAGAAAAATTGAATATCACCATTACCATCTTAACAATATGAAGATCTAGGAACCAGATGAAGATGAAGAAATCAGGGGAAAAATGAAGATAAAGATCTTGTGTTCATCTCATAACTAATACACAAATCCAAAATTTAGGGGATACAAATTGATTTCTTGCCTTCAAACACGAACAAGCACATACACTCCAAAAATTGAGAACCCTTTCAAATTCTCTCAAAATTTCATTTGTTTCTTCGATATCTCTTCCAATAAGATCAAAAATTTCATCTGGAAGAGCAATAGATGATAAAAAAATCATAAGCACCCATCTTGGGTTTACTATGTGATTGAACAATAGGAGGGAACTCACACACATTGTGTGTTTGTATCTGTGTGTGTGATAAAGATAACAAAAAGACGAATGATGGGATTACGAAAGGGTTAACACCACTCTCGCATTACTATTCCTCAATTGCTAACCAGATCAATTTCCTAAAATTGATCTTTGTTTGGATCGATCATCAGGAGATTGAGTAAAAGGGATAAGTCATTCCAAGATATGGGTTTATTCCACCATTGTAAGAACTCATACAGAGGGTCGATGATGGTTTCGTTGGGGTTGTTGATGGAGAAATCATGGAGATTGGGTTTTTATTTATGGCCTCAGACGTTGTGAAGGATGCAGTCGAATGTAGCTTGATCTGTGGGTGATTCTGAAATGTCGATTGGGTGGTTGAGGATGATGATTTACAGATGACGGTGATTGTGAAGAATATGAGATTGAGAAGAAGATCTGAGTATTGTGTTGGGAGAAAAAGTCGTATGTATGTGTGTGTGTGTGTGTGTGAGAGAGAGAGAGATGAGATGGGGTGTTATTTTTTATTTTTTAAAATAAAAAAGTATTAAAATACATACCAAAAAATACAAAAAAAAAAAATTAAAAAGCAAAACCATCATTTCAAGTGTTCCAAGGACCAAAATCACAGAAAAGTTTTGATTTTGGACCTTCCATATAAGTCGAAATCTTTTTGGATCATATCTAAAGTTTTTTACAAACCACAAGAACCAAATTTACAGTTTTGTCTTAAAAAAAACACTCCCAAACTTAAACGTTGGTTAAAAACACCCGTAATGACTTTAAAAACTTTATTTGAACAATATTTATCTGACTTAAGGGGTGTTTGGATTAGATTTTTAGCTTATTTGTGGTGGGAATAAGCAATAAGCATGGGGAGAAATGCTTATTAAAATTAGCTTATTTAGCCTAATAAGCTGGATTTTATCCAAACACTTAAATTAGCTTATTATGGAAATAAACAATTAACACCTCTTTTTTTCCTATCCAAATACCCCTTAGTACATAACTATAGATGGCCAAGCTCAATTGTATAAATGGGCCGGGCTTAATGTATTTTTTGTATCCTTGGTAAGTTGGTATAATACCAACTTATATATGTGTGAAAACTTAACTTTTGAAACTTTATTAAACCAAATATACATGGACCAACTTTTTTTTTTTTTTTTTTTTGGGTATACATGGGCCATAAGCCCTATGGTTTATATTGTATTTCATGTCTATACATACGCATGTATCCTTTGTATTCACTAAACAAATATATAGTGAAGATATTTACCAACTATCATACATATCACCTGAGAAACTTGAACCCGGTAATTTTATGATTTGAGCGTTTTTTCCACTATGATCCTTTCAAGCAACTGGTTTACTGCATAACTTTACATTTATTTCATAAAGAGAAATTTTCAAATATAACCAAAACAAACATTTTAATGCCAAAAACTGAGCAACGAGTCCACAAAGGGTCTCCTGTGTACCTGATTTCCGTACTGCAGACTCATTCTTACAATCGAATTTTAGGGATTTTTTTTTGTAATTTTGTTTAGTCCGAAGTATCCTTTGTGCGGCTGGTGGTATCTTCTCCAAACTAAGCAGTATAAATTTCGATAAATCTTTTTTCTTTTATTCTGGAATGTTTTTTGTCTTGTTGCCTATACAAAATCTACATTCCAGAAACAAAAGATAAATCCGGAATAAAACCAAAAAAATTATTGAAACTTATACTGCTTAGTTTGCATAAGATACCGCTAGTCCACAGAGAGGTTATTGCGGACTCAAGTGTTGTGTTGCAAATTAAGCGAAAAGAGAAATCCTTAAAATTTGAACCTTAGCACAAGTCCGCAATACAAAAACTGCATCCGTAAAGGACGCTCTGCAGATACATTGGTCGTTTTTGAAAACCCTTTTTTTGTTATTTTTTGGCACTAAAATGTGTGTTGATTATATTTGAAATTTTCTTTACTACGGTTAGATCTCCCTGTTTTGTGATGGCGGAGGCTCATTAACAAGTGCCGAATAACGGAACATTTATAGGCATAAAAAGTAGGAATCAATTTAATTTCTCTAATGAATATTGTTACACATCGTTTTTGCAATAAAAATCATTCGTCAAGTTATATATACTCTTTCATTATCTTTAAGCATCCGCTCTATTCAGTTTTAAAACATAATCATTGAAGCTTACATAGCACTTTAAATTTTCGATATGGCATCTATTTTATTTTTCTTTTTTGTTCATTTGCATGTTTAGTAGATTGCTTCTATCCTCTCAACCAAATGATAATTTTCATCATAAGCTTATGTGTACTGTGTACATCCATATTACTTGAAGGTTTTATTAATATATTAAAAGTTTAACTTATTTATAAGAAAACGTGTCAAATTATATTATTATTTTTTAATAACGGATAATTGAAGTGTATATTTCAAATAACCCATAGGAAAGAATTTTCGGAGTTGGTTGGATATCGAAATGCCTAGGTATTGTGCAATTTGGGTAATGTTATTGTTGATAATGTAAAATAACCAAACAAATTATATGCTAATAAGCCAACTAAGCTCGCACCTA